CACTAATTAAAAAAATTTATTAAAATGTTCATGTTAACATGTACTTGGTATATTTTCTAATTTGTTAATACATATTTTAAGCTTTTTCTTAGTTTTAATTTTTTATGTAGTAAACAGTAATAGGTAAAACCCACATATGAACAGAAAGGCTCTTTGGCGCCCTAAGTAATTTAAGATGTTAAAGGGACTCTGAGACTAAAAAGTTTGAGAACTCCTGTATCTGCCACCACAGTCAGCATCTATTATTCTAGAGGCTGTAGTCAGAGGAGCATGGGGGCATTTTTCTCTGTCTTTCCTCACCCCATCTCTGAGCTGCCTTACACTTTCTGCAGTGCTATCTGCTTCTGTCTCTCTTATTAATATTTCAAGTGACATACCACTTAAGTGGAACTGACTAATAGCACTTTCATTTGTCAGTTGGGTTAAATTTTTGAAACATGTTTCTTTCTAGGGTCAACTGAATGCTTCCATTGCCTGTGTCTTACCAGTTTTACTTTACAGAGTTAAAAATGTTTAGGCTCACTCAGAACTTTTCTTTGTAAAATCTGTGCACTGGCTGACATAATTTGACTTCAAGCTTGAACAGTAAGAACCCAAGATACAGAATTTTAGTACAGGACAGATTATAAACACTGGTGGAGGGAATGTGTGGCTTTTCAGCTTGAGGAGACCTTCTTTTGTGTTTGTTCTGTCGGTGTGTTGGGGGAGGGGGACCCAAGAACCTGTGGCTTTCCTTGAGACAGCCAGTTATTGTCTTCAGTCACCATCTGTCCTAAGTTGATGCACATACAGTTAGGTTGATTAATAATGGACTCGTATGTTACTTTTCCAGTAGAACATCTAGCTGCATTTATTAGTGAACTCTTTTTAAACCAGCAAGTCAGCCTCGTGTTCTTTGAAACCAACTAGGGGCTCACTCTGGTTATCTGAAGCATAGTGATCCTGTGATCTGAATAGCTGTTACCAAATTGTTTTCCCTCCACAGTGTCTTGTACTGAAGGAGGAGCCATCATGCCAGTCGATGACTACTGGCTGTGTTTACCAGCCTCTCACATTAGACCTCTTGTGCAGACTGTCCGAGTGGTGCAGTCTCGTCCCCACTGTGGCTGGTTTCCAGGTGTTCTCCCTTCAGTCCCTGAGCCACCACGTGTGCCCGCCGTCCTGCCGAGGGACAGCCACGCTCCTGTGCTTTCTCCTCCACACTCCTCCACTGCACCCCCTTCCAGAGCTCAAGCACCCTGTTCTTCTGCTGACCCCAACCTCTGCCATTTACCCCCTGTATCTGATGGTAGGCAGGAGAGAATGATGCAGTTTGGGCTGGTAAGTGTGGGGCTTTTCTTGGTTATTGAATTTCTTTTTTTTTTTGAGTCAGGGTCTCACTCTGTCATCCCAGCTGGAGTTCTGTGTCACAATTACAGCTTACTGTGGCCTCGACCTCCTGGGCTTAGGCATTCCCTCCATCTCAGCCTCCCAAGTGGCTGGGACTACAGGTGCATGCTACCATGCCTGGCTAACTTTGATTTTTTTTGTAGAGATGGGGTCTCGCTATGTTGCCCAGGCTGATCTTGAACTCTTAGGTTCAAGTGATTCTTCCTCCTAGGCCTCCCAAAGTGCTGGGATTATAGATGTGAGCAACCACACCCAGCCAAGACTTGATTTTTTAAAAACATTTTATTGTGGTTTGTTAGCAGTTTTTCCAGTCAACATCTCTTGTTAGCACAGATTTAAAAAAAAAAGGTAGTATTAGGCCAGGCACAGTGGCTCATGCCTACTATCCTAGCACTTTGGGCAGCTGAGGTGAGAGGATCTCTTGAGCCCAAAGTTTGAGACCAGCCTAGGCAAAATGGCAAGACCCTATCTCTACGAAAATAAATTTAAAAATAACCTGGGACTGGTGGCACAGTCTTGTAGTCCCAGCTACCCAGGAGGCTGAGGTGAAAGGATTGCTTAAACCCAGAAGGTCCAGGCTGTGGTGAGCCATGATTGTGCCACTGCCCTCCAGCCTGTGTGGCAGAGTGGGATATTGACTCAAAAAATTAAATAAAAAGCAATATTAAATGTTATCACTAAAATAGTGTTTTAAACCAAAATAAATATAACTAATGTGTAGAAAAACTAGTGGAATGGAAGGATTTGTTAAAATTGTTAAAAATGAATAGTCCTGGCCGGGTGTAGTGGCTCATGCCTATAATCCCAGCACTCTGAGAGGCCAAGGTGAGAGGATCACTTGAGCCCAGGAGTTTGAGACCAGTCTGGACAACATAGCTAGACCTCATCTCTAATTTTAAAAATAAAAATAAACAAATAAAATTTTTAAAAATTAATAGTTGTCGCCAGGTGCCTTGGCTCATGCCTGAAATCCTGAGGCGAGAGGATTGCTTGAACCCAAGCGTTTGAGACCAGCTTAGTGTGACCTTATCTCTACAAAAAGTCAAAAAATTGCCTGGGCATGATGACATGTGCCTGAAATCCCAACTACTCGGGAGGCTGAGGTGGAAGATCACCTGAGCCCAGAAGGTTGAGGCTGCAGTGAGCCCTGATCATGCCACCACACTCTAGCCCAGGTGACAGAGACCTCCCTGACTAAAAAAAAAAAAAAAGACTCAAAAAAAAAAAAAAAAAGATTCTAACAAAAATTAATAGTCTAACACCAAATCATAAAGTCTGTTGCATGCTAAGTATATAGAAACTAAATAGTAAATATAGAAGATGTCATGTATATGTGGATCAAAGGAGTGAGGTTTACAGTCATGCTTGTTTAAAATACTCTATAAAAGCAGCAGCTTTTACATTAAACTTTTCATATAGGTCAATATCAATTAATTTTGTGGTGAATTTCTAGATTGCTTCTGCTAAACAGTGTAGAAAAGTCTTAAATTTTTGACTGATCTTCTAAAAATATGCTATTGAGATTATTAACTGGGCCCATTTTACCAGACCCCTATCTTAGACTGAGATCTTAACCCATTCATTCTACTTATGATTAGAAAGTAGAGATGATTGCTAAACTGTATTGATGGTTCCATTAAAAACATACAGTACATATGTTTTTTAAAAAACATGTACTGTATGTTTAAATTTCTGAGGAAAAAACTGCTGGTGATTAAACCTGATTTAGGCCTCAGTTGGTTTTCTTGGACTGTCCAGGCCTTACTTATGTAGAGCACTAAATGAATGCTTCCAAGTAGATAATGAGGGTGTGAAAAGCATTAAGACACAGTCCTCTGGGATCATAACCCGAGAGAAAGCAATTTACTGGTCACCACGCAAAGGAAGGTTGAGTATTTCCATTTGTATGCCGTAATGGAAAGCAGGCCTTTTTCATTTGAAAACTTCTTTGCTTTTCTTTAAAGGAAGATCGTCTTATAGAGCTTTTTGTTCAGTGCTGGCTTAAAATTAAGTTATTTTCTCTTCTTTAACTTTTCTTTAGGCTTATCAGGAGAACAGACTTCAAAAGCTTCTGAAAATGAATGGCTCTGAGGATCTCCCGGAGTCCTATGACTATGACCTGATCATCATTGGAGGCGGCTCGGGAGGACTGGCAGCCGCTAAGGCAAGGCTCCTTACGTGATGTGTTATCTGCCCTGTGGTTAGAATATTCACACACCCACAGCGTCCTCTGCATTCTCCGTGCAGTTGTATTTGATCTACTCTGGTAACATGTTGCACATTAACTTGGACAGGACACGGACATGTGAAGGGACCACTTGATACATCAGTTTTCCAGATGTGAATGGATGTTTTTTATATAAAAGTACAGGGCTCGGTATTTTGGGATACGTGTTCATTCATTTTATGTTTGGCTGAGGAAATTAAACCAATATATTTTTTATTCTTTATAAAATTACATTTGTTTTTTCCACTCTGATAATTTTCCTATTCACAGCCCTTCCTACCTGATAGAAAGACGGAGAACAGTTGAGTTTCTTAAGCTTATTTATTAGAAATGATTTGCCTCCCATGGATATGAGATGCTCTAGGAGAAGAACCATTGGCTGTGGCCACAGTGTGATGGGAAGAGGATATATAAGTAAGGAGGGCTCAAGGTGAAACTCCTGGTCCTGAATCAGGATACATTTCCTGTGAGAGAAGCCCTTGAACCTTTCATCCTTACCCAGCAGGTTCTTTTATTAATTTATTTTTTTGAATTGGGGGGGATCTCACTCTGTTGTCCAGGCTGGAGTGCAGTGGCATGATCCTGGCTCACTGTGGCCTTGACTTCCTGGGTTCAGTTGGTCCTTCCACCTCAGCCTTCCAAGGAGCTGGGACTACAGGCACGCTCCACCATTCCCAGCTACACTTTTTGAGTTTTTGTAGAGATAGGGTCTCACTGTGTCACCAAGGCTGATCTTGAACTTCTGGGCTCAAGTCATTCTCCTGCCTCAGCCTCCCAAAGTGCTGGGATTACAGACATGAGACACGGTGTCCAGCCTCAAACAGGTTCTTTTAAAAGATGAAGTGGTTATACTCTCCTAAGCTGTAGCTTGTGGTGAATCAGTCAAGGTAAATTCAAAGCTTCCCAGGTTAGGAGCAGGCTGATGTCTAGCTTGAAGCAGTGCTTTGCTGAAAGTGATTCAGAAGTAATACCTCGTATATTTTACCCCAGTGATGGTGTGTTGGAAAGATACATAGATGTAGTCTTTTCAGATAACCTTTGAAAGTCTAGTTGCCAGTACACAAAGCTTATTCTCTGAGATAAAAGATACTCTGCAGAACAAACTTCTCACTATTTATTATCTTTGCTTCCCTAAAAATAGATTTGGAATCCTCATAGATTTGGAAATTTTCAACTTTTTCCTGAGTTCCTCGTGAAAAATTTGGATAATCTATTTTAGAAGAAAAACTTCTCCATATTCTGCCTCAGAAATCACATTAGATAACATTTTTAAATACTTTTTAAAAATATTATTTTATAGGATACAGGTTGTGTCAGGGCTATAGACTGTCAGCTTTATTAGCCACTTAAACACTTGCTTGGAACGGGCCGCTTTTTTTCAGATGATTGCTTAATCTGTTATTGTTTGAGTAGAATTATGTCAGGATTCGTAGGTTTCCAGCTGATTCTGACAACTTTGTGACCGTAATTTGTACAATTTTTAAATCTACTGCCACAACTAGGTATCTCTTAGTTTTTATCCTGGAGTTGAACTAATCATCATGGTATATAAAATTTCCAGATATTACAAACTGGTTATGCTTTAAGTTTTATAGCCTAATTTAAAAGCAGCATGTATTTTTACAGTCCATGTCCAGTCTGTCAAGTTAATTTTTCCAACTTACCTTAGTGGTTTTGTTTCCAGGAGGCAGCCAAATATGGCAAGAAAGTGATGGTCCTAGATTTTGTCACTCCCACCCCTCTTGGAACTAGATGGGGTAAGTTTTTATGATTTAAGGGTAAATATTTGGTAATCTAGTATATTTAGGGGCTTGATGACTGAAAACTTGAAACTTCTCATCTGTGGACTTCTGTTTTAATTTACCTCCTGAGCCGGACTCGGTGGCTCAGCCTGTAATCCTGTGCCTTTGGAAGGCTGAGGTGAGTGGATTGCCTGAGCCCACGGATTCGAGACCCACCTGGGCAGTGAGACCTCATCTCTACAATAAATAAAAAAATCAGCTGGGCGTGGTAGCTCATGCCTGTAATTCCGGCTACTTGGAAGGCTGAGGTGGAAGGATCGCCGGAGCCCAGCAGGTCGAGGCTGCAGTGGCTGGGAGCGGCCACTGCACTCCAGTCTGGGCGACAGAGTGAGACTCCAACTTAAAAAAAAAAAAAAAATGGAGCTCCTCCTCCACCCTGCTCAGTTAAATACTTGTTTCCTGGCTGTCTTTTCCACTTAGAATGTCAGTTTCACCATGGCAGGAATTTTAGTTTTGTTCACTGTATTTCCAGTACCCAACACAGTGTCAGGCACACAGTAAGCACTCAGTGGACAGTTGTTGAGTGGAGTATTAAGCAGGACCGTCTCTTCTACTGAGTGTGATGCTCCCAAACATGACACAAGGGGAATGGACATAGTCAAGCACCTTCTATGTGTCAGTATCACAATCTACAAGGGAAGTCCCACTATTACCTCTATTGGACAAGCAAGAGACAGTGATTGGCCGATGTGAGAGCAGCCACTGCACTCCAGTCTGGGCAACAGAGTGAGGCTCCAACTCAAAAAAATAAATAAATAAATAAAATAAAAATAAATAAATAAATTTATCTCCTGTATTTAACAAGAACTTGAGTCAGGTATCATGGTGGATAGCCTTCGTTGCTTCTCGGGGTTGATGAATTACATGTTCACTATGCAGTTATTCAAAATCTTAATCGAAAACTTTGATGGACAGAGCCATGGAGATTATAGTAACACAGTACATACAAAGTCTCTGCTTGTGAGGAGCTTACATTCTAGTGGGGAGACAAATATACACAAGAACTTTAACAATTGTGTTAAGTGGTACTGAAAAAAATTAACAGTGAGCCTGAGAGGAAGTGAGTAAAGAAGGGTGTTTAGCTTTCACATGGTCAAGGGAGGCTTCTGAAGGTGGCACTAGAAGAAGCCTAAAGAGTGAGAATGAGCCAATTACGTCAAAAGGTGAGCTAGAACCTTCCAGGCAGCTTTTCTCTGTCTTTCTCAGAATAGCACATACAAATGCCCGAAGGTAGGTTGGAGTCCTTCATGGTTGTGGCATGGATAGTGGGATCTGGAGGTGGTGGTGTGAGCTGAGACCAGAGAGGAAGGCAGGTGCCAGACTACACAGGGCCTTGTAGGCCACCATGAGGGTTTTGTACGAATCACAGCATATAGTGGTAAGCTTTTGAAGAATTTTTTTTTTGAGTCAGAGCCCCACTCTGCCACCCAGGCTGGAGTGCAGTGTACATGCTTCTGGCCACCACATCATCAACCTGCTGGGCCCAGGTAGGCCTTCTACCTCAGCCTTCCAAGTAGCTGGAACTACAGGCATGTGCCACCATGCCCAGCTAATTTTTTGATTTTTTTTGTGTGTGTGTGGAGTCAAGATCTTGCCATATTGCCAAGGTTGGTCTTGAACTTCTGGGTTCAGGCAATCCTCTTGCCCCTCTGCCTCCCAAAGTGCTGGACTTACAAGCATGAGCCACCATGCCTGGCCCCTCTGAGTACTTTAAGGTAGGGGAATAATGTGGTATGTAAATTTTTTAAAGATTATGTGAGTGCTTACTTTAAAAGACAAGAAGCAAGAATTCCAGATAAGGCAGTGTCACGCTTTGTGGTTCATCCATTCAGCAAGTTTTTGTTTTGTTTTGTTTTTAAGTTGGAGTCTTACTTTTTCACCCAGGCAGGAATGCAGCAGCACACTCACAGCCACCACAGCCTTGACCTGCTGGGCTCCAGCGATCCTTCCACCTCAGCCTCTAAGTGGCTGGAACTACAGAAGCGTACCACCACAACTGGCTAATTTTTTGATTTATTGTCAAGACATGGTCTCACCAAGTTGCCCAGGCTGGTCTCGAACCCCTGGGCTCAGGCAGTCCTCTTGCCTTGGCCTCCCAAAGTGCTGGGATTACAGGTGTGATCCACTCTGCCCAGCCTTCAGCAAGTATTTATTAAGTGTCAGCTCTGTATTAGGCACTGTTCTTAGTGCTAGGTCTATCCCCTCGGGCCTGTGGTGCTTAGGCTCCATAGTGGCACTCTGGTAGCGCTATGTTCAGAGGACTTGCCTTTGAGCTGTACTGTCCACTGCCATCTTTCACTCTTAATCAGGGCATTTTGGCCAGTTGCCTGCATTTTGTTTTAGTGGAAACAAGCTGTCACCATACCATGTTATTTAAACTTAGGGATGCTGAACCTTTTTTTTGTTTTTTAGGGGGAAGGGGCAGGTGTGAGACCTTTTGGAGAGTAAAGTGAAAGCTGTAGGCCGCCTCCTTTATAAATGCACATTTACACCAAATGGATATGTAGTTTTAGTCCCATTGCCCAGCATAACCACCTCATTTGCACAGATTTGGTGGCAAATATAGGTGCTTTTCATCTTCTAGTGAAGTTACATCCTCTTAAACCCATCACAAGTTAAGAATATCTTAAGTCAAAAATGTATTTAATATGCCTAACCTATCAAATATGCTCAAAACACTCACATTAACCTACAGTTGGGCGAAATCATTGAACTCAAAGCCTGTTCTATAATAAAGTGTTGAATATCTCATGTAATTTATTGAATACAGTACGTGAGAGTAAAACAGAATGGTTGTATGGGTACCGTCCAAGTCCAAAATTGTAAGTCAAATCATTATAAGTTGAGGATTGTCTGTATAGGGTTGTGCATATAGTAAATTTTCTGTTTCTGGCATCTTTATCAGCAATCAATTTTGAAGTATATGGAAATTTAGAAATCTGCCTCTGTTTTGTTTTAGGATCATCATCTAAATATACCTACTGTGTTTGGTGTGTTCTTTGAATTTAGAAATGTCACAGGATATAGGAATAAACTTACATACACAGTATTGGCTACATTAAGCAATTAAAATTGATGTTTCATAGCAATTAAAATTGATGTTTCATAGAATTGCAGTAACTGTTGATCTCTTTCTTTGAAAGCTTGTAAAGCAGGCTATAAACTGATTTCTCAATGTTGTCGCAGGTCTTGGAGGAACATGTGTAAATGTTGGTTGCATACCTAAAAAGCTTATGCACCAAGCAGCTTTGCTGGGACAAGCCCTACAAGACTCTCGAACCTTTGGATGGAAAGTCGAGGAGACAGGTATGGCAGGGAAAAGCTACTTTTTTGTTTGTGCTTTTTAGGATTTGAGCTGTGATCTTGCAATGCGCCGTCCATTTTTACTAGTATAGCAGATACTTTGCAAGTTTTTATTGTTTACATTTTTCATGTATAAAATCATTGGAGTTATCCTTTGCTAGGTAGTTACATAGTTATTATGACAACAACAGATGCTGCAATATAGAAAATAGAGATAGAATAAAACCAGAATTCTTTTAGATAAATTCTCATATAGTGTTTATAAGGGCTGGGTATGGTGGCTCATGCCTATAATCTCAGCATTTTGGGAGACTGGGCAGGAGGATTGCTTGAGGCTAGGAGTTTGAGACTAGCCTGGGCAACATAGCAAGACCCATTTTTACAAAATAAAATACAAAATACAAAACGGGCATGGTGGTATGCACCTATAGTCCCCGCTGCTCAGGATGCTGAGCTGGGAAGATCCCTTGAGCCCAGGATTTTGATCTTGCAGTGAGCCATAATAGTGCTGCTGTATTCCGCTAGATGACAGAATGAGACCCTGTCTCAAAAAGAAAAAAAAATCAAACAATGTTTATAATTGGTAAGGTAGTACTAATTGCATTTGCTTTCTTTTGAAGCTGTTACATTTTTCTCTTTCTAAAGAAGTCTGTTTCAAGAGCTGATATTTATAGGGAGAGGGAATTGCTTGCTGAGGGGGGATGGTTAGACTTTTTTGGTTTATAGGTATTTCGAGTACCCTATAAAACCTAGACAAGGTGAAGAGGGAATTGTGAACTTTACAAAGTAGATTGCATTGTCTGGTGGAAGAAGTGAGCTCTGGCACAGCTTCATGACTAATTAATGACATATGTCACTCTGTCCTTGAAGAGTGAAACTCTATCCCCTGCCTGATGTTAGGTTTGAAATCTATGGGATGTGGGACATTTGAGGGAAAATATTCCAGCCAGTAGCTGGGGTAACATTTTGTGGCTTTTCAGAGTTTTAATGAATAGTTTATTAAATATGAAAATAAGGCTATAAAATACATGCTATGAAAAATTTTCTCCCACTCAAAACTAGTCGTGCTTCCTTTGTTGATGCTTTTACTTCTCATTTAAAATCAGCAGTACTTTTTTCAAGTCTGAAGTCATAGGAAATCAGTTTTCTTTAGTTGGGTTTGCATCTGTTTCCTTAGACCCTTATGAGGGAGAGAGAAGGATAGAAAAAGAAATTTGATAAGATGTTGGTAATAATTGCAACTAGATGATTGGTGCATGTGGTGAGTTGTAGACTATTCTGTCTCATTCCTGGTAAAGAAGTAGTGAGTCCTGCCTTTTCTTCTTGTAGTTGATGGTAGACAGAGGCCAGACAGGTAGGCTGACCCAGGCTCTCTACAGCCTTCCCCAGTGCTGGGCACCTGGTCCTTCTGACACTACAACCACAGTGGTCTCCACAGTTACTTTTGTTTTTTTAATTGAACTTACCTCTTAAGGTTTGCTCTAGTTCTAACCTTCTTTGGTAATTGAATTGAACATATCCATGATATGTTCTCTAGACAATCACAGACCAATTACTATGCTGCCATTCCCCCTTCTAGAGGTGGGCATTCAGTGCCGTGGTGCTGGTGAAGCTGGCTGCTTAACTACTGAATTAGGGACTCAGGTTCCTTGTTTCCATGAGAGAAGTTTTCAATGTATGTTGATTCTCTTCTTCCTTCCAAACTACAGCTTCCCCAGCACTGCCTTCTCCCTTCCACCAGAGGATATTTATACCCCCATATCCTATTTTTTTCTAGTCATTGATAAGATAGTAATTATTCAGTGGCAAAGTGTTGTTTTTATAATTCATTGAAATTTTGATTTTTAATATTACTTTAGAGCCCTGACTTCAAAGGATTAATTTAATGTGGTAAAATAAAAAAGATCTTTCTTTGATAAAATAGGGTTTGGGGAGAAATGAGATGAACTCCTAAAATCTTCTGTCTGAAGGGGGATTTGGATAGTTGACTTTTTCTTTAAAAAGCCAGATAGCAAATATGTAGGCTTCTTTGGGCCATATCATCTCTGTTATAGCTATTTAGCTCTGCCATTGTAGTGTGAAAACAGCCCTAGAAAATACAGAAATAGCCGGGCTCGGTGGCTCAGCCTGTAGTCCCGCGCCTTTGGGAGGC